CAAAAACCGTCAGAAGAGTGGACTTGTTTCACATTAGTGTAGAGAGACCTGTTTATAGTCTAGCTTGCTGGAACACAGCTCTGGTGATATGGGCTTTGGGCCTTATATAGATGTGCAGTTGGAAGAGGATGAGCACTTTAATAGTTTAGATAATTGTGGTTATTCTTCTTTGATATTACTGAACCAGTGGCAGTTTCTTAAAGGTTAGTTGTAAGGTAGAACCAGAAACCTTATCAGTATTACATTACAATCCACTGGCTTGTCTTGCACTTTGAAAGAATATTCCCCCCATGCATGATTTGTTAACATCATGTATTACTCATCTGAAAACACTGGTTCACTGGATTAAGCAGATTTTCCAAACGTTGACACATTTCATTATATATGCAAAAATCTCATTTAAGATCACCATTAATCTCACCAGAAAAATATTTAAGTATTGAGAAGCTATAAAACTGATTGTGATAATTTCAAGTTCTCCAAAGTATTAATTTTCACCTAAAAGCTTGAATGTTATCACTGGCAACAGATGTTTCAGATGTGTTCCCTGAACTGGAAGGCTCACTCTGTTCATTTTAGAGAAAATATCCGCCAGATAATCAAGTCTGCATAGTCATGATGTGCCTGTTTCAAGTAAAAATGGTGTCCATGAAAAAAGCAGCTTCTTCAGCTTCCATTTCTAAGTGTCACACGCGTACTTTTCCTCCAGAAAGCTGTGGAGCCTCCCTGCACAGCAGACGTGCTTCATGCGTACCTCCTGCTTCAGCTCAAGCAATATGAAAATCATCTGTGCTCAGGGGCAAGCGTCAAAAGAATGCTAAGGAACCATCTTTACACCACGGTGCAAATGCCCATAGAGTAAGCTTTGGCCTTGCACCCCGGGGTCCCCAAATTTCCACAGTTAGAGAACTGCTGTCCTACGGAATACACATTGGGTATCTGTAAAAAAAAATTTTATATGCAAAACTAGAAATATGCTCGAGTTATTTTACCCTGCTTTGTTTATGTGGGATAAAATTATAAAAAATTTTAGTCATTTCTAGTTTCATTCAAGTCTACCCATCAAAAGCTGCCCCAAAAAAGGAGGCCAGAAGAATTTACTCTAGAGTTTGCATTATCAGTTTTAGACACTAAATGTTTTTCAAATTTTAATTTTTAATTCACACTGAAAACATATTTTCCCTATACTAACTCAATTTTCTCCATTTCCATTATTTTTTCCTATCACATCATATGGCTCAATTCAGGAAAAAAAAAAAAAAAACTGGTCTCAAGAAATTATCAATAAAACAAACAAAAAACTGACATGAATTGAATTTGATAAAATGATGTATTTAAGATCAAATCAATAAATGAATCAGTCTTACATCCATGATATCAGTATTCTGACTTGCTTAATGAATATGAACCATATTGCATTTTATCATTCACTAAATGTATTTGAGGATAGAGACAGAAAAAAAGATCAGGACAATAAACCAAATAATTAATATATTTTATATTTTCATTTCTATAAACATATTAAAATTAAATCTATATTGTACTCTTCTGTATGCAAAAACAACTAACATTTTAAATGAAGATTTCTATTTTTCACAAGTGTTAGAATCTGATCTCTGTATTACTTAAGGTGAAGAAAATACAAAGGATTTCTTACTGATGAAATGTTCTTTGTCTTTTTCAGATGTTTTAACACAACTTTATTAAATCCTTTCTGTGCAGCCCGAGAAAGTGCTGACACTTCCCAGTTATTCTTGGTTGCATCTATCAACAGTAAACAAAAATCCATGTCATTTATTTGATGAATACTATGGGAAACACACAATACCATCAAATAAAAACATTAAAATCTTAATTTAAATTACAATTTAAAAAATTAAGTTTCTAGAAGAAAACATATTAACAGTGGTTGTCTTCATTTTAAACACCATTGTCTACCAAAAGGCTCCTTGGAGGAGTGGCTGATTTCAGGGCCTGGGCAGACTTGTGCTTACAAGAAGAGTACGAGTGACCTTGTGGTGCCAGGAGACAGTGCCCACACCTTACACACAAGCCAAATCCATGACAATGTGAGCATCAAAACCCATCAAGATTGCAAAAGATGAGAGCCACGGAAAAAGTAAGAATCCACGAGTCCCAACTAATATAGATAAACAGGAGAAAAGGGAAGGTTATTTCTTACAGTAAAATGCCAACTAGGATGAAACGAATGATGGAGGTAAAAAAAATCACCATTTTGCAATTATCGCAGTAATAACTGATTCAGGAAGAATCATCAGTGGACACCAAACTATTACAGTGAAAGCTCGATGCGGAACAAAAGTACTTACAGTCTTAACGTACCCTTCATAAGTTACTTTTGTTTTTTCAAGCAATCATAAACTTACAGGAAATTTGGAAAACAGTACAAACCTTCTTTCTTTGAACAACAAAAGAGTAAGTTCCCGACCTGATGGCCCACCAGCCCTGAATCCCTTAGTGTGCATTTCCCACAACAGGGACATTCTCCTACATCACCACTGCATACCGTCCGAATCAGGACACTGCCTGACACAGCACTGACACTCCTCATACCCATGCGGGTTCAGCACTGATCCTTACAATGTTTTTAGCTAAGAACTACTTGTTGTGTTTAGCTGACCTGTCTCTTTACATTGAAATAGTTCTTCAGTGTTTTTTTTTTTTTCCTTTTTGTCATTTTTCGTGACCGGCAACGGATCGCAACCCTTAGTGTCACGCCCGTACCGGACTGGGACCGGCCACGAGATCGCAACCCTCGGTGTTGCTCCCGCACCTCGCTCAGCCAGTGAGCGGCCGGTCTGTATGTGGGATCTGAACCCTCGGCGGGAGCGCCGCTGCGCTTCCCAAGCGGCGCACTGTAGCAGTGCGCCACCGGGCCAGCCCCCCTTCAGTGTTTTCTTGAATTTTGTGATTTGGACATTTAAAAAATTATACACCAGTAATTTTGAACACTGTCCCTCCATTTGGGTTTTTCTAACATTTTCTCTTGATTAGATTCAGGTTATGGATATTGGTTTTAACGTCTTACTATTTCCCTTATTAACTGTTTTGTTAAAATCTTTTTTTTTCTTTTTCTTATTGAATCATAATTGATTATACATACTTTGGGGGTTCAACGCTGAGATACATTGAACAAATCAATATTACTAGCATATATAGTATTACAAATTGTACTTATTATGTCCCTTGTCCAATCTCTCCCCATCCCCTTCTCCCCTCTAATTCCTAGATTTCTTCTGTCCTCTCAAAGAGTAATGGTTACTCTGTTGATTTGTTGCCTAGATGATCTGTCCATTGCTGAGAGGTGTGTTCAGGTCCCCCAGTATTATTGTAGAGCAGATGCTGCTTCTGCCACTCTGGAATAGGCTTTATGGGGAGAGACATCCTCTTATTTTTTTTGGTCTCTGCTGGTGACTCTCCTTGTGTGAATGCACTCCAGTACCTGGCGGACCATCTGCATGGTGGCTGTGGCATCTAGCCACTTTCATGGCAGCCATGGTTATTGTGGTGGCTGTGGTGGGCCACCCACACGGA